GTCCGCCCCCGTCCCTCCGGCCACCGGCGCTGCAGCTTCCCCCGTGCCCTTCTCCCGGGAAAGCCTCCCTCCCTTCAGGGCCTGGTCCCTGCCTTCTACTGCCTGCGCTTGCCCTCCGCGCGTGTGTCCCTCCTACCATGTGCAACGAGCTAACGGGCAGAGGGCAGCCCAGGAGGAGGGGGACCCAGAGAGAGGTTTATGGGGAGCCCTGCAAGAGAGGGGGGGATGAGCCGAGACTGTGGAGCAGAGGGTTTACCCCGGGGTAGCGAGGATGAGGGACCAAACGCTGCCACCTCTCCCAGGGCATGGTGGCCCCGTGCTTAGGAGGGGCAGCAGCAGCTGCTGGAAGGTGTGTGAAGCCCTCAGGGCTGGTCTGCTGGCAATATATCCCTCCCTCAGAAGGACTTCCTTCCCTACTCCCCCTATTTCCTAATCCTTCAGTAATGTGGATTTCAAGTAAAATTTGGTGCTGGTGGGATTCTGGCCCGAGGCTGAGAGAGTTTCCAGTCTTCCCTGTCTCCTTCCCAGCAGCCAAGGCCATGGGGTGTTGGGGACATACCAGGCCTGAGGAGGAGGCCAATGCCCAGAGCCATGCTGTGGCCCTGCTCCTGTCCCATGGCTGTTGGGCACCTAGAGGAGGACTTCAGGAAGAGCAGAGCCCTTCCTGAATTGCTCTCTTCTGCCTGTGGTGGCATGGCCAGGGGAGAGGCAGTGCACCATGAAGGGCTGGGTTCATCGCTCAGGTCGGTGACATCCCGCTTTTGTCTCCTCACAGGCCAACCCTGCTCCCATTATCGTGAACACAGACTCGCTGGAACAAGGGCTCTCTGTAAGTCTCCTGGTTTTGTTTCGCTTCCTTTGAACAAGCAGTGCATTTTCCCTGCTCGGTGGTGCAGGAAAGGCTCCTCCAGCCCAGGGACGCCCTGGTGAGGTGGCAGGGGAGCCTGGTACCTGTGCCACGTCCCCACAGCACATCCCACCCCCAAACCTCACTGGGGCTGGGTGACGCTGAGCAGAGCCAAGGCTAGCAGTAAGCGATGCTGGGGACTCCAGCACAGGGAGGTTACAAGGCAGGAGGCATTCAGAGGGGCACACTGTGGGGTAAGCAGGCATCAGAGCAGGGAGAGCTGGGCTGGCTGCATTCAGGGTTACCCACACAGCCATTTCCTCAGCCTCTCATGCCAGGGTGGCTGCGAGGCTCTGCTGGGGCATCCCTTACCTTCCTGCACTGCCTCAGCCCCCTTCGGCAGCCCTGGCCCCTCAGGAGGGAGGCAGGGCTCTCTGTGCCCTCACTGGCATTGCACCAGCTGGTCCTCAGGGCAGCAGGACCCATCAGATGCTGCTCCTCTCCCAGTGAAGGCTGCCAGCAGCTGAGCAGTGCCTGGTGACTGTAAGTGTTTGCAGCCACAGTGCATTTGGCACTCTTGGCATAGTATAAAGATAATCCTCCTCAGTTTGTTGCAGAGAGGGTTTGTGCGCTGCTGCATCCCTTCCCAGAACATCTGCAAATCATTCCT